GTGGGCGATTTGGTCGGCCGTTTTTCGGTATTTTGGCCCGTTTTGTTTTTCGGTAAAGTTGGAAAAAAATCGGCCGATTTTGCCGATCGGCCGATTTTCGCGGCAATTAGTGGGCAAATCGGCCGATTTTTTACCGATAAAAAATCTGCGCATGAGCAGTGACCTGCAAGAGGAAGACAAAAAGAAGAAAAAGAAGAAGAGGAAGACGATGAAGAAGAGGATGAAGAAGAAGAAGAGGAAGAAGAAGAGGATGAAGAAGAAGAGGATGAGGATGATGATGATGAAGAAGAAGAGGATGGGGATGAAGAAGAGGATGAGGATGATGATGATGAAGAAGAAGAGGATGAGGATGAAGAAGAAGAAGAAGAAGAAGAGGAGGATGAGGATGATGATGATGAAGAAGAAGATGAGGATGAAGAAGAGGATGAGGATGAAGAAGAAGAAGAAGAAGAAGAAGAAGAGGAGGATGAGGATGATGATGATGAAGAAGAAGAGGATGAGGATGATGATGAAGAAGAAGAATAGGATGAGGATGCAGAAGAAGAAGAAGAGGATGAGGATGAAGAAGAAGAGGATGAGGATGAAGAAGAAGAAGAAGAAGAAGAAGAAGAAGAAGAAGAGGGATGAGGATGAGGATGATGAAGAAGAAGAAGAAGAAGAAGAAGAAGAAGAGGATGAGGATGAAGAAGAATAAGAAGAAGAGGATGAGGATGAAGAAGAAGAAGAAGAAGAAGAAGAAGATGAGGATGAGGATGAAGAAGAAGAAGAAGTAGGATGAAAATAAGAAGAATTCCAGTCCAGCATAAAGTGTCTCTGCAGAGAGCTCCGCTATTTCTGACAGTTCTCTGACAGTTCCTTGACATTTACAGCGGTTTGAAACATTGTATCTATTTGTTTCCGAATAAAAACATCTGTATCCTAAATGGAAACAAATAGATACATTGTTGCAACTTCTATAAATGTCAGAGAACTGTCAAAGAAATAGCAGAGCTCTCTGCAGGGACACTTTTTGCCGGCTCTAGACGGGTAGAAAATCGGCCGATTTTTTTTACCATTGATGGTAACGTCGGCCACTTGAACAACCGATTTTTCGTTTTTAAAAAGAAAAATCTGCAGTTTTTCTCCCCATCTATGGCCTGCATTAGTGTGTTAGTGTTAGTGTGTTTTTTCAGTGTCAGTGTGTTTTAGGTAAACAAAAAACAAAATGTGCACTATTGTTTCTGGGCTGTACTATGGGTACAAACAACAAATAACATACACATATATGGTATCGGTGTGACAGGGGCGGACTGACAACTCATGGGGCCCCCGGGCAATAGGGGATCATGGGGCCCCTGTGTCCTTGCCCAAACTCAAAAAAGCCTATGAAAAAGGTACAGGGGCATCTCATGGGGCCCCCTACTGACCCCGGGCCCTCGGGCAGTGCCCAAGTTTCCAAATGGTCAGTCTGCCCCTGCGCTGTGATCATCAAGAGCTGGAAAATTTATTTTGGGAGGTTATGGCAGTAACAAGAAACACACAGCTAAATTTTAAAATATGATTTATTTTTTTTTACTATTTTGGGCCAGTTTTTCTTGGATAATAAAAAAAACAGGAGATATCCATTACCATTCACCACCAAATGAAAACCCAATTTGTTCTGAAAAGAACAAGGTATAATTCACCTGGATGTACAAAGTAGTTGTGATGATATGTACAGTTTTACTATCACATGTCAACGTTGCAAAATTGTGCTTAGGCATTAAGATTTGTTTTACCCTTAGGTGTGAAGGGGTTAAAAAAAATCTTTCCCCTGCAAGTAAAGAGCATAATGTGCTAGTATGCATTGCATAATTATGAAGAATTACCTTAAAAACGAAGCCCTCCAGCGGCGTGCTGTCACCATTTTACATCTTCACTCGGTCTTCCTTCCGAGTTTGCGGGCTGCACCCGTTTAAATAGCCATGCCGCGATGATGTCACTCCCATGCGTGCATGTGGGTATTATGGCCGTGGCACAACTCTCTTCATGAATGGTATGCCCGCCGGTGCACATGTAGGAGATATTCACTGTACCTACAAGTAAGCCTTATTATAATCTTCTCTGTAGGTACAATTGAGCATGCGGTGTGTTTACTGACACTTTAAGGGTTTAGCTGAAACCGATCAAAAGTGCAACAGCGAGATTTCACTTTGTGAATGTCAGACCAAATGATCAGTGATTGGTTACTATTTCATTTCAAATATGTACACCTCTAATTTCTTCCCATGCTTGGAAAACAAAGAAAAATTATAAAAATGAGTCTCATTACAAATGGCAGCGCATCTGATTTTCTTTGAACGCCGGCATTTAATAATAAAGAATAAAAATACTATTTCTTGTTTTATGACACCAATTCCAAACTGTTTTTCAGTATACAAGTAACATTGATATTTATTTACTAAAGCTGAAGAGTGCAAAATCAGGCTCATGTCTGCATAGAAACCAATCGGCTTCCAGGTTTTATTGCCAAAGCCTAACTGAACAAGCTGAGGTTAGAAGCTGATTAGTTTTTCTATGCAAAAGTGAGCCTGATATTGCACTTTCCAGCTTTAGTAAATGAACCCCAATATGTCTATCAGTGCAATGTAGTTTGGCTGTGTGTGAGTAAGACCTGTCCAAGGTTCTAAAACCAGGGAATTAAAGTGTTACTAAACCCACAACAGTCAAATCAGTCTGTATATACAGTAGAGCATGCATGTTATGCTCACTGTGGAACATAAGGGGTTAATCCTCTGCATTGTGTAAAAAGGCCTTTTGATCCTGACTTCTCTGCTCCTCCTCTTCTTCAAATGTCCACATCTTATCTCCTGATAAGACAGACTGAGCCATAGCCATTCTGCACATGCTCAGTTTAGTGTGTATTGATAGAGAGGTTTTTTTTGTTTCTTCGGAGAGTGCATGTGATCAGCACAGGGTCAATAAGCACTGTCCAGACAGAGGTCAGGGGTTCTGCATCCTCCTAGAGCAAAATGAAAACTGCTCCTACAAGCTTTAACCAGTGCTCTGCTGGACACTGATAGAAGTCACAAGACTGCTTTAACTGCTGATGAGAAAATATATTTAGCAGTTTATATTTACTAAAATAATTGCACTTCCATGTTCTGAGTACTGTGGGAGACCAGATAAAGTGAATGCAGGGTCCTGGGTTTAGTAACACTTTAAGCAGGCTTGCATTATCATATTCAAAAACCAAAGATGTACTTAATGAGGGGTGCCAATTTGGAGGAAAGAGCATAACTGCATTACATAATACCAACCAAAAGACTGTATAGGCTCCTTTATCAACACCCCACATCTGTCAGTATAATGGTTCATTTTCTGAAAAACAAACTCATATTGCAAATAGTTTAAACTGTTTGCTATTAATATTAGGCTGTGCTGCAGGTTGGGGATATTTATCATTGGTTTACTGAAGTGGAACATTTATAAAGACAGCAACTAAATCATTCTGTCACTGTGGAATACAGCACAAAGCAATGCATTTGGCTAGCAACAAAAGTCAGCTAATGCATGTCTATAGCCACCCCGTGGCCAGTCTGAATATTGCATCTTTCTGCAAAACTGAAATTTCCAGAAGATTTTAAATATAATCTTCAACCAAGAGTAGAATACCTGGACATGTAGAAGATCTGCAACATACTTCTGCTAATCCCTGTTCAGATGAATGATTTGATGTTATACATACTATTCTCTGAAATGTCAAGGCACAGCTTTAAAGTATGTTTAAAGCAATTTTTTTTGTGTTTTAGAAAGAATTGGGAGGGCTTACAACCTCAGTCTGCTTTATATAGCTTTATGTGTTCCCTCTGAAAATATCTGAGTTGTCATTGGAACAGAAATAAATGGTAAATCTAATAACGGCCAATTGATCCAGTAACAAATGCTTTAAAAATTATTTCCCTTACTTTGGAGACAGCGTCTCTTCTCGGTGAGGCACAGAAAACAAACAAAAAAATAAAAAGCTATTTACCAATCAATGCAAAAAAGCTTTAGACATACTTTAAGAGCACCTAATGTTCATACGTTTTCTGCTGGACAATTAGACATTTTCTTAAAAGGCACAAAAATGAATTTTCCAGTGGTGTTTACCTAGCAAAAAATACATGAATTTCAATAAACAAATATGAGCCCCACTGCTTTTTGTAGTCTTATCCACAATACTATAAGCATACTTCACATGATCACAAGGCAAGTTTTAATGCAGTATATACTACAATAAAAAGAGACACTCCGACTGAATAAGCAGGTGCATTTGGCAGGGACATCTTTATGATTACATTATGGTGTGTAATCCAATTGCCAATTTCAAGGGTTTTTTTTTTTTGGAAAGAAAAGCTCCTCAAGGTCAATTAAATATATAAACAAAGATTTTAGCTAATGTTAGGCGTTTTTTAACCTGCTTCTATAGTGTACAGTATATGTGAGACAGTTCCTTTGTTGTAGGCTTTCCATGCTCCCCCTTGCAAGGTACCATTCCAATGCTGAAGGGATGTGGCCTGGTATGGTTCAGGAGGGTGGTGCAAACACGCTGCTTCCCCTTCCTTTCACCCATGCTGCATGCCTTGGATAAATGTCTTTTTTGAGTTTATGGGCCCCCATGCCAATTTATGTTTAACTGCCTCCCGCCCCCCATACAAGGAAATGACAGGTGCAAGGCGGTTCTCTTGTTCTGGGAGAACATCATATGATGTCCTCCCACTCTAACCACATGTGCAAGCCCCCGGGTGCGGCGATCGGCGGTGCGCTGTGTCCCTGGGACACAGCGGATCACCGATCACGGAAAGAGCCGATGACTTCAACTCTGTCATGTGATCAGCTGTGTCCAATCACAGCTGATTGCATGTAAATAAGGAAATGTCGGTTTATTATCGGCATTTCTCTCCACACGAGCTGTCACGCTGACAGCTCGTGAGGAGAGGAGAGCCAGTAATCGGCATTCCTTAGAGGGGACATCTACACAGATCATCAGGACACTGATGATCAGTGTAGCCCCCATCAGTGCCACCTGTCAGTGTCCATCTATACCACTTGCCATTGCCCATCAATGCCACCTGTCAGTGCCCATCAGTGCACATCAATGCCACATATCAGTGCCCATCTGAGCTGCCTTTCAGTGCCAACTATCAGTGCCAGTCAGTGCCACTTAACAGTGCCAGTCAGTGCCACCTATCAGTGCTGCCAATCAGTGTCGCCTATCAGTACCAGTCAGTGCAGCCTATCAGTGCCAGTCAGTGCTGCCTATCAGTGCCCATCAGTGCCACCTAACAGTTCCAGTCAGTGCCACCTAACAGTGCCAGTCAGTGCTGCCTATCAGTGCCACCTATCAGTACCATATACGAGTACTGCCTTTCAGTGCCCATCAGTGATGTCAGTGAATGCCCACCAGTGATGCCTGTCAATGCCCATCAATGCCACCTACCAGTGCCTCCTCATCAGTGCCACCCATCAGTGCCCATCAGTGCAGCCTATCAGTGCCCATCACAGCAGCCTCATTAGCGCACATCAGTGAAGGAGAAAAATTACTCATTTACAAAATTTTATAACAGAAACTAAGAAAAAAACTTTTTTTTTCAAAATTTTCAGTTGTTTTTGGTTTGTTTATCAAAAAATAAAAAACCCAGAGGTGATTAAATACCACCAAAAGAAAGCTCTATATGTCTCAAAAATATGATAAAAATGTCATATGGGTACAGTGTTGCATGACTTGTCATACAAAGTGTGACAGTGCTGAAAGCTGAAAATTGGCCTGGGCAGGAAGGGGGTATAAGTGTCCTGTAGGCAAGTGGTTACACATTTTGAGTATACATATGTACTGTCCTCTTAAGAAAATGCAAAAAACAAAAAAGACGTGGGGGTTTCCCTACAAGTTTATAAAAGCCCCTTATCTATGAATGCAGCCTGGGTAGCCAGGAAAGAAGGGGAAGGGTACCTTGCAAGGGGGTATGCATGACCTAGGTAAATGAGAGTGTTACAGTAAATACAGTATATAGCCAGATTTTGTTATGTTTTTTCCAGACTCGCATAATCACATCTGATGACACGTTTCAGGACTAAACACTCTTCAGTTTCTGGTGGGATCATTTCTAAACACGTTATTGTTATATCAAGAAAAGTGTTTCCACAAGGCTAGTAAACAATAGGAATATATGCTATTGTGGTACATTTGGCAATGTTCACTATTGGTCAACAAAGTACACATTTGTAGCTGTTCCCATAGTTTTAGAGGAGTTCTTGTCAAACACTGGACTCAAGCTATGTTAATAAGGATCAGCAATAGCCAGACCTGTTGACATACATGTCCCATGTTATGTATGATACTACAGTGCCATATAGAGCCAGTAGTCTCCTATTTTTAGTTGTTTCCATTGTTTAACCACTTGCCATCCTCAGGATTTACCCCCCTTCCTGACCAGGCCTCTTTTTGCTATTCGGCGCTGCACTATTTCAACTGATAATTGCGCGGTCATGCAATGCTGTACCCAAACAAAATGTACATCCTTTTTTTCACACAAATAGAGCTTTCTTTCGGTTGTATTTGGTCACCTGTGCGCTTTTTATTTTTCACACTATAAACAAAAAAAAAGAATGAAAATTTTGAAGAAAAACAATATTTTTTACTTTCAGCTATAAAAAATATATAGTAAACTCAAATTTAGGCCAAAATGTATTCTGCTACATTATTTTGGTAAAAAAAATCCCAATAAGTGTATATTGATTGCTTTGTGTGAAAGTTATAGCGTCTAAAAACTATGGTATAGATCAGGGGTGGGCAAACTTTTTCACTTGAGGGCCGCAATGGGTTAATTATTTGGACCCGGGGGCCGGACCAAGAGTAGATGAATGAGGTGTATGTGTCATCCATAGTAAGTATAGTAATATTCCCCCCATAGTAGTAATTAATCCCCCATATAGTAATTCATCCCCCATAGTAATTCATCCCCCATAGTAATTAATCCCCCATATAGTAATTCATCCCCCATAGTAATTAATCCCCCATATAGTAATTCATCCCCCATATAGTAATTCATCCCCCATAGTAATTCATCCCCCATAGTAATTAATCCCCCATATAGTAATTCATCCCCCATAGTAATTAATTCCCCATATAGTAATTCATCCCCCATAGTAATTAATCCCCCATATAGTAATTCATCCCCCATAGTAATTCATCCCCCATAGTAATTCATCCCCCATATAGTAATTCATCCCCCCTATAGTAATTCATTCCCCATATTAATTCATCCCCCATATTAATTCATCCCTCATATAGTATTTCATCCCCCATAGTACTATTCCCCCCCAAGTAGTAAGCCAAGTCCCCCCTGTGTCAATTCACTTACCTTTGCTCCGCGCGTTCCTCTCGCCGTGTCCCGCGCCGTTCCGGTCTTCAGGGCGGACTGTGAGAGGAGCCTAGCTCCCCTCACGTTCGTCACGCTGCCCCGCCTACACACATCCTGACAGCCATCCTGACAGTATCACGCTCCACGGGCCGGATTAAAAGGTCCGCCGGGCCGTATACTAGTAATAGTTTGCCCATTGCTGGTATAGATACTGCAATTTAAGCCATTTTTTTGCTATACAGCGCTGCATTAGTTTAACTGAGAATTGCACGGTCATGCAATATGGTACATAAATGAAATTTATGTCCTTTTTTGCACACAAATAGAGCTTGGTGGTATTTGTTCACCTGTGCGCTTTTTATTTTTGGCGCTATAAACAAAAAAATGTTGAAAGAAAATTTGCTTGTTTTCTCATTTCTGTCATAAAAAATATCCAAAAAACTCAAATTTCATCATAAATGTAGGCCAAAATATATTTTGCTACATGTTTTTGGATAAAAAAAAATCCAAATAAGTGTGTATTGATTGCTTTGTGTAAAAGTTATAGCATCTACAAACTACTGGATGGTATAGATAATGGAATTTACACAGCTTTTACTTTCTGACTGCCCATCACATTTCTTGAGGTGCTAAAATACCAGGATAGTGCAAACACCCCCAAATGACCCCTTTTCTGAAAGTAGACACCCTAAGCTATCTGCTGAGAGGCATATTGAGTCCATGGATGATTTATTTTTTTCCACAAGTTTTTGGAAAATGACAAAAACGTTTTTTTTTACACAAAGTTGTCATTTAAATTATTTATATCTCACACAAGCCATGGGTATATGTGGAATTACACCCCAAAATACATTCTGCTACTTCTACAAAGTATGGGGGTACCACATGTGTGAGACTTTTTGGGAGCCTAGCCACATACAGGAGCCTGGAATCCAATGACCACTTTGAAAGCCTGAAGGTGCGTATATTCCTCATTTCACTTCCTCACTACCTATTACAGTTTCGAAGGCCCTGAAATGCCAGGATAGCACCAACACCCCCCCCCCCAATGACCCCTTTTTGGAAAGTAGACACCCCCAAGGAATTTAAAAAGAGGCATGGTGAGCATTTTGCAGATCTAATTTTTTCTCACACGGTTTTGAAATATAAAATAAGAAAAGAGAAATTAGGTTTTTGTTTTTTTTTCTTCATTTTCCAAAAACTTGTGGCAAAAAACGAGAACTGCAAAATACTCAACATGCTTTTTATCAAATTCTTTGGGCTGTCTACTTTCCAAAAAGGGGTCATTTGGGGGGTTTGGTTCTATCCCGGCATTTCAGGGCCTCCGAAACTGTGATAGGTAATCAGGAAGGGTAATGAGGAAGTAAAGTCCTTTAAAAGCCTGAAGGTGCTTATTGGATTTTGGGGTCCTGTACTTAGCTAGACTGCCAAAATGTCTCTCACATGTGGTACCCCCATACTCAGGAGAAGTAGCAGAATGTATTTTGGGGAGTAATTTCACATATACCCATGGCATGTGTGAGCAATAAATCATTCAATTGACAATTTTGTGTAAAAAAAAAAAATTTTGTAATTTTCCAAAAACTTGTGGTATATTGTAAATTGTTGTACATATAAAATGCTTTGATCCACAATCAATGCATACAGATATTCTGTGAATAGCAGCTCCAAAAAATCAAGGGGAGTAGTTAAATTTGCTATTTTCACCTGAATTCCAGGTTGGGCAGTGAATGGAGGAAGTACGGGTGCTGATTCTGCGAACACTGCGCTTTTGTGTGCAATCCATCAAGTGACAGTAACCTACTGACACTGCACTTGCTGGGGGAGAAGGGAGCGTAAGTGTAGGGGCTAAACGCAGGTGCTGGCAGGTGTCGGGGCTGATCCCGCTAACGCTGCGTTTTTGGAGATACTATACTAATGTGAACGCTGGTATAGTGCTGATCTGATCAAAGATATTGATCCATTCAGAAACTATACTAGCAATGGAGGTTTACTGTGTATGAGTGTGCTCCTGGCAATAAAGGGGTTAAATGGGATATATATATATATATATATATATATATATTGTAAGCTCGAAAGAGCAGGGCCCTCGATCCCCTCATGTTTTGCATTGTATTGGTATTGTTCTGTCACATGTTCTGTCTCCCTTTGTAATGTACAGCGCTGAGCGAACTATTGGCGCTTTATAAATACTGTATAATAATAATAATAATAATATATATATGTGTGTGTGTGTGTGTGTGATTTTGAGCACCAGTGCCGCCCCATAGCAGTATTTCTGCTATAGGGCGGCCAGGAAGCAGTTACAGAAGTGGCTTGTGTTACAGCGCTATGTTATTTTAACTGACAATTGCGCAGTCATGCAATGCTGCACCCAAATGAAATTTACGCCCTTTATTTGCCACGAATTGAGCTTTCTTTCGGTGGTATTTGATCACCTGTGCGTTTTTTAGTTTTTGCGCTATAAAAAAAAGGACCAACAATTTTGAGAAAAAAAACAATATTTTGGACTTTTTGCTATGAAACATGTCCAGTAAAAAAATTTAAAAAATAAAATTTCATCATAAATTTAGGCCAAAATGTATTCTGTGACATGTGTTTGCTAAAAAAAATCCCAATATATGTAAATTAATTGGTTTACGTGAAAGTTTTAGCGTCTACAAATGGCAGTATATATACTGGGATTTTTTTCATACGAATAATGGCAGCGATCAGCGACTTATGGCGGCGATAAGCGACTTATGGCAGGGACTGCGGGAGACATTCTGACACTGGGGGGAACTGACTTGGGGTCACTGACATCCCCAGTGACACCAATACAGTGACCAGTGCAAAAAAAAAGCACTGATACTGCACTAATGGCACTTGGTAGGAAGGGGTTAACATTTGAAGGCAATCAAAGGGTTAACTGTGTGATGGGAGTGTTTTACTAGGGGGCGGGGGTGTGTTCTTCACTGTAAGCACACTGATCAGGATGGCTGTGCCCAAACTGA